ATGCAAAAACAATATTTAACACTCTTAAAGAAGGAGGCGCAAAAATAATATTTGTAAACAAGAGTGTCATTTTTTTCCTTTCATACGTAATCCAAAAAAAATGCAAGAATATGGCTTGAAATTCTTAAGACAATTGAGAAATACAAGAGGTTATTGGTGATCGTCTATTTCATGTCAGAGAAGGAAGAAAGGGAAAACTAACACAAGAATCAGGAGGCAATATTTTTTAGAAGAAGACAACAATGAGATACTACCTCGAAAATATCTTCAATTAATGTAACTCCTAGGAAAGGAGTTCGAACCCCACTATTTTCAAGGGACTCTACCCCTATTCTCTTCTCATCCATTCTATAAATATCAAACATAGACCATGATCTTCAAACATGGTCTCAAACACAACACATTTACCTCTTGAATTAATCGACTTTCCAGTGGTAGCCTAAATTGGATGTCAAAGTATTTCGGAGAAAAATTCTTTCTCATCCTCCTGAAGATATTTTTGACGATATTACTTATACAGAGACGATACCTTGACAAAAACGTCTCTCATCCCCCAAAAGGACATAATTCTTACTCTGATTTTGCGACTATTAATGTATGACACTTCAAAGTTTATGCAAGACATTATATGATCCCGTATGGAGGATTTGAACGTTTGATCCAAACAATTAATGCTAAGGAGGAGAATATCAGACGTTCCACGGAAGTAAAGACAAATTATCATTTGTTTTTTTGTTATTTTAAAATTTTAAAATACTATTTTTTGTAATTATGTACTTGGCTAGTGAGTTTCTAAAATTAGTGAAAACTATGTCGAAAATAACATTTTCTCGATCTTCAAAAGAAAAGAAACATTTTGTCAAAGATATATTTGCAAAAAAAAAAAAAATACTAACCCCTTGTCTCTAATTCCAAAAAAAAAAGGAAAAAGAAAGTTCCATAGTGTAAATCGGTTCTATTATATCACGGTTTAAACTTCGAATCACAAATCTCAAAAATAAACAATATACAATTTGCAAGTTCACTTTAAGCACCTCTTGGCTACAAGCTTTTTGTAAAACTTGTTTGTGCGGAAGAACAATACAGAAGCAACCAAAGAGCCGAAAAGAGCCACAGACGCCATAACCATAAACGATGTCCTGAAACATTGACTTCCGAAGCAAGAATTGTCAACATCAGAAGCTACCTTGTCGTAAAAGTAACCTATCACTTTCACCGAAAGAAGATACGATCCAATGGGACCCGCAATCGAAATCGTGAAGTAAATCGTTCCCATGTGCCTGATCCCAAATATCTCTGACGTGATTGTCGGCATGAGCGACCATTGTGAACCATAAGCCATACCGATCAATACCGAACCGACATAGAGGCTGCCTTGTAAACCAGAGGCCACTACGATGTGGCCTACAGCCATAACGGCTAGAGTTATGATCATGAAGACCGGTCTTGGCCAGCTATGTTTGTGTAAGAATGTGTCTGAGATATAACCGGCTCCAAACCGGCCTAGAAAGTTCCATATGCTCCAGAGAGAGACCAGAGAGTTTAGTTGGACCGTGGAGTAGCGAAGAGACTCGCCTATCTGTCTAATGTTGTTTATTGTCGCGAATCCGGAACCCATCCCACATAACATTGCCAAAAAGAGTAGCCAGAAGTTCATTGTGCTCATTGCTTCCAATATGTTTGAGTCTACTGTAACCACATGATCTTCATCTGCACAAAGTTTGTAGCATAGTCAGTGTTCTGTTTAGAGGTGCCTGGTCATGTGTGAGCAAATTTACCAGGAAAAATGTTTGGACTAGGAGAGTGGAGTAAGGCGGATGTGTCGAGAACAGGACAATCCATAGACGTAAGTGTCTGCTTCTCTTCTCGTAGGGCTCTTACAGCGATCAAGAGAGGAGAGGCAAGCAATAAAAGCACAAGAACGAAGGAGAAAATCTGCATGGACCGTGATAAACCCAGAACGTTTTGGGTAGTTATAATGACCATAAGATAGGCGGCGATGATCAAAGAGATGACAGAGAGACCATCCAAGTGTTTCTTGTCACTCGTGGTGACCGTTTCATAAACTCTTACAAAAGGCATAGTCAAGAAGATGACAAGCGTTGGTACTATGGCCAACAGTAGAATGAAAGTAGCAGGGTTACCTTCGCCTGAGACCGCGTGGTACAACTGAATCAGAATTGCTCCACTTAGCCCTAGAAATCCCTGAAGTCAAGTATATATACATACACATTTAGAGGAAAATGAGCCAGTTTTTGGATAATGTAAACATTCTTCAAATTTCTGTAATTCTACGATTCTAGGGTGTTGCCAATAGGAACTACATATTGATTCAAAGATAGAAATCCTTCAAATCAAAGCCAGAGAAGAAAGATCTATAGAGCCAAACGAATCCACAACTTTAAACATCCTAAACAAAAATCTTTTGTTAATTGTAAAAACAAACGCCAAAATGTGAAAAAAAATTGTCATGTAAGTAAAACGCAAACGTAGAAATTGCGTTTAAAACAATTCAAACCTTAAATCATTTAATCTACAACAAAGTCACATCCTCTGGTCCATATCTCTGCAAATGAATCGTCAAAAAAAATTCCTAAAGATCGATAAAATTCGGTATATATAGAGTTTCAGATTTCATTAACAAAACTAACAATCTTTTGTCCGATTTCTTACCTGCATAATGCCGACGGCAGTCCCACCGTAATCAGAGAAGTTACGAGCGGCGGTGACAACATTAGCGGTATTGAAAAACGGCAGCGAGTGACCAGACAAGAAGACGAACAGACACATGACCGGCACAGGCGGCGGAGCGATCAACCCAACCACCGAAGCCCACATGAAAAAGAATCCCAAAAACCACTGAACCAACCCTACCAACACAACAACCCATGGCCCACCACGACCGTCGTGCCGCTTCGAAGTCATGGCCGTATAGAGGTAACCGGAGAAGATCCCCAAAGTACCACCGATGTCTTTGAAGACGGAAACGAAGTCGAGGGTAGATTGGTCATAAGATTGAGAAGATTTGAGAATCGAAGAGTAGATTGCAAATGTATAAGTAGCTCCACTAAAGCTTTGAATCCATATACTCGCTGCTGCTGCTACCCATTTCGTGTTTATCCTCTCCATATCTTCTTGAGATAGAGAGAGAAATTGAAACCACCAGTTTTTGGTTACACAACTGTGTAAGAGAATCTCGGATTTGTCGATGTGAAATCGGAAGTGAAATGAAGAGAACAAGTATTGAATCGTTCAATGGAGAACCTGATCATCGTGACTGAGTAAAGGATTGATTAGGGATTAAACTCTGCTTTTCCGACATCTGAAAGGACTTAATTTTTTTATATATTTGCCTTGTCCCCCTAGCGAGTAGCGGCTGATACAACTCATCTTTGTCTGATTACTCTTTGGGTCAACGCTAAC